ATGTCCAAAACGAGCTTTACAACATCGGTGCAGAGGGGGAGTGGGAGGGGGGGGAGGAGAAGGATTGGGATTGGGGGGGAGAGGGGAGGCTGGGAAGGGATGAGAAGGGTAAACCAAAGGAGGAGGCTGCAATGCTTGGTAAGAAATGTACTCATTATCCTGCCATGTAATTGTAACCCCTCTGTACAGTATGTTCACAAATAAAATAAAAGTTAAAAAAAAAGTTTCACTAAATAGAATTTACTCTTTCTGTAAGTGATGCTTTGATACCTTCTTTTCAAAACCGTTGATGGCGACTCCAAATTGATTTCTTAACTATAAAATCTGGGCCAGGCTGAATGAAGAACTTTGTGCAGTGTTGGATGGTACACAATCAATTTTACATCATCCTTATTTTCCTGCTTGCTAAAGCTACCCTATGTATAGGAGAATGGGGGTGCAGACTGCCCAAACATGTTGTTATCCAGAATAGGTCAGGAAAACAGTCTGTCCTTCAGGAAACATGTTATTTTCATAGAATATATCTTCCTAGTGTGCTTTTATTTGTTTTGTTTTTGTTTGTAGCAGTGAGCAAAGTACATTCCAAAAATGTGCTGTTCAGTCTTTTGGGGGATTTGAGAAAAATACTGGGATTTGAACTCAGAACCTCATCCTTGCTAGGCAAGTGTTCTATCACTTGAGCCTCCTTTAGGTTTTATGGGTTTTGCCCAGCTCAGCCTCAAATCACAATCTTCTTACCTATACCTCTCATGTAGCTTACAGGAACACACTACCATATCTGGCTTGATGTTTTGAGATTTGGTCTTGCTAATTTTTGGCCCAGGCTGGCCTTGAACCATCATTCTGGTGATCACTTCCTAGGTAGCCAGGATTATAGGCATGTTCCATCATGCCCAGCCTTGTTACCAAAAGCAAAGTACATAGAAACATTCAGTTATGTGGTGACAAGAAAAAATATAAATTTATATGTAGTTGAGAGGTTCAGTGGTATCATGAGCATAATATGATAGGAGTAGCATTCATTTATTTACCCTGTGATAAATACTTATAATTACTATGTTTGATTTTCATAGCTGTCTGATGAAGGCAGATATTATGTTATTTTGCAAATGAGAAAACTATGGCTTGGGTAAATGAAACAACTTGTCTAAAGTAAAAAAGGTTGTAGGTAGGGCTGGGAAAGTGACTTAGTGGTAGAGTGCTTGCCTTGCATCCATGAGGCCCTGGGCTCGATTCCTCAGCACTGCATGAGCAGAAAAAGCTGGAAGTGGTGCTGTGGCTCGAGTGGTAGAGTGCTAGCCTTGAGCTGAAGAGCTCAGGGACAGCCCCAAAGTTCAGGCCCCATGACCGATCAAAAAAATAGAAAGGTCTTAAGTGTGCAGATTCTGACATACACCCTGTGCTTTTTAACATTGCCAATAATGTCCAGTATTTGAGTTCAGCAGACCTGAATTTTGTCAGGACTTCCCTCTTGGTTATGTTTCCTTGCCCTTGGTGTTCTTCTATAAAATGTTAGGAAAACATACCCTCCATAGAGCCACTGTGCAAAAAGGAGAGAGAACTTAGCATGTGATTAGTGAAAGTATTTAAGATTAGGAAAGCTGGAACTACAGAAAAGAGAGCACAGTTCTCAAGAGCCTGTGAAGTCATTGATCTATCAAACAGCTGTGACTATACCAAAGTGTGAACTGTTCCTCTACAACATCCTTGGTAAGAAGTAATCATACTTCTGTCTGCCTCTGTCTCTTTGAGACAGGGTTGCACTGTGTAGCCTAGGCTGGCTTAAAGTTACAATCCTCCTGTCTCTGCCTCTTAAGTGCTGTAATTACAGGCATCAGCTAATGCATGACTTCCTTGGACTATTTGAATTGATGTTATTGTTTCTATTACTTTAGGCTTTGCCTGCCCTGAATGCACTGGAATGCATGCACCAACTTAATAGAAAAGTTTCAGAGCTCCATTTTTACTTGCAATTCCTAATTTAAAGTTTAGTAATTTTTTATTGTCATTACGATGTGATTTATGGTGTAATATTTTCTTGTTTCTGGATCAACAAAGAAATATTACCAGTTCCACAATGGTAGAAATCTTTGTGTGCATGCAAGAAATTCAACTTCCACTAAGATACTTAAAAATATGTAGGCAACACTGTATAGCTTTTGCAATGAAAGCCTTAAAGCATTCTTTCTGGAGGTGTGTTTATAATGAATGCTTTATTCTGACAAGGACTCTGTTGCTTTTCAGAACAACTCTTGGAGTTTATGCACCAGTTGCCAGCCTTTGCCAATATGACGATGTCAGTGCGGCGGGAATTGTGTGCAGTGATGGTGTTCGCAGTGGTGGAGAGAGCAGGAACCATCGTGCTCAATGATGGAGAAGAGGTCAGTGAACATTTCTGCTCTCAGGATACTTAGGGAGGATTCCAGACAAAAGCCAGGGGCAATAAATTTGAATACATGAATTATGGTACTTCACAATTCTAAATGTAATGTTCTGTTTTCTGTTACAACATTGCATGTAATACTGATAGAAATTCTTGGTACTGAGGTTTCTGTAGTGCTTGGGATTGAATACAGTTCATGCTAGGCAAGCACTTCTATCACTGAACTACATTCCTAGTCCTGGGGTTTTATTTTATTGTGTCAGTAATAGGGCTTGAACTCAGGGATTGGGCACTGTCCCTCCCCCCCACTTTTTTTTTTTTTTTTTTGCTCAAGGCTAGTTCTCTACCACTTGAGCCACAAGTGCCACTTCCATTTTCTGAGTGGTTTATTAGCGATGAGTCTCATGGACTTTTCCTGACTGGGCTGGCTTTGAACAACAATCCTCAGATCTCAGCCTCCTGAGTAGATAGGATTACAGGAGTGAGCCACTGGTGCCCAGCTTACAGTAGACTTTGATACCTGCAGGTATTTCATTCCTAGGAGACTGCCAGTGAGGAAAAACCTCTTAATAACTCAGTACTCTAAAATTACTCAAATTTATCTATACTATTATGTGTACAGTTGTTCTGACCTTCTATAACTTGAAACTGCATGGAGTGGCTGCATTGCTTTCATAAAATCACTGTTGTTCACATTAATACTACTTATCAAAACCTAGTTCTTGCTTTTCATTTTTTCCCTTAAACTACCTCAACTTCTGCTAAAAATATGTTATCTTTCACCAAGTTTCAGTGTTCACTAAATTGTTTTAGTTAAACAACCTTACTTTTAGTTTGCTCTTTGGGCATCATTTGCTTTTTGGGAGGCAGATTTTTACAGAAGGACAGGAATACACTCAGACGATTTCACAATGATTTAAATACAGCTGACAATAACAATAGACTAATTGAGCTTTTCTGCTTCAGCAAAATTTTTTTAACTTTTTTGAAATTTTCTTGGTTAATTGATTTTTTTTACCACATTTGGTCAAAACTATGTGTAATAAATTGTTGGCAAATAAGGCAAATTTACTGAAATGCCTTTTTTTTTTTTGGCCAGTCCTGGGGCTTGAACTGTGGGCCTGGGCCTGGGTACCCTCCCTGAACTCCTGAATTTCTTTTGCTGAAGGCAGGCAGGCACTGCCCCTTGAGCCATAGCACCACTTCTGGCTTTTTTGAGTAGATAAGAGTCTTAGAGAGTTTTCTGCCTAGGCTGGCATTGAACCACAATCCTCAGATCTCAGCCTCCTGAATAGCTAGGATTACAGTTATGAGCCAACAGTGCCTGGCTGAAATGCCTTTTGTCAAAACAAAATGTTTTATTTTTTGTGCTGGCACTGAGGCTTGAACTTGGCGCCTGCTTGTTGTCTGTCTTAACTATTTTGCTCAAGATTGATTCTTTTCCACTGAGCCACAACTCCACTTCTTGCTTTTTGGGGTTAACTGGGGATAAGAATATGATGGAGGGGCTGGGAAGATGGCTCAGTGGTAGAGCACTCGCCTTGCATGCTCAAGGCCCTGGGTTCCATTCCTCAGCACCACATAAGCAAAAAGAAAAAAGCTGGAAGTGGTGCTGTGGCTCAAGTGGTAGAACGCTAGCCTTGAGCTGAAGAGCTGAGGGACAGCGCCCAGGCCCAGAGTTCAGGCCCCAGGACCGGACCCCAAAAAAAAAAAGAATATGTGGAATTTCTTGCCCCATCTAGCTTTGAACCATGATCCTCAGCTCTCAGCCTTCTGAGTAGCTAGGACCAGGTGAGAGCCATCAGCACTCAGCTCAAAATGATGTTCTTACTGAGGCAACAGTCACCATTTTATCTTGCTTATATACACTTATTTGGAGTATAAAAAAAAATTTCCCCTCAGATTATTTTAGAGAAAAATACCCAGATGAAATTAGGAAGGCCAGATGATATGACTGGGCGTGGTAAGGTATGTAGATGCATTTACTTCGTTTTATTGCTTCTGTACTCCTGTTAATTGAACAGTATTTCTCAAGTTACTGGTTCCCTCTTTTACATGGAAGACTAAGTAGTTTTGGGGGATCATTTTCACATCAAGAGGTATGGTTATGAGACTCTTCTCTTTATCTCCTTTTTTGTTAACTAGCTGGACTCCTGGTCGGTGATTCTCAATGGCTCTGTGGAGGTGACTTATCCAGATGGAAAGGCAGAAATCCTGTGTATGGGAAACAGCTTTGGTGTCTCTCCCACCATGGACAGAGAGTATATGAAAGGGGTTATGAGAACAAAGGTGGATGACTGCCAGGTAAAATGGCTTCTTAAAAGATTTTCATGTACAGCTTTAATCTTATTCTTTGGGAAATTAAAAATAAATACTCTCCAAAGTTACTTAGACTCAGCAGAACTAGGTTCTTTAAAAAAAAAAAAAGATTTTGTAAATATAGTATTTTAAGATGTCCGTCAACTACAATTAATAATTTGTTCTTCAGAAATATGGAAGTCAAATGAAAAGAAATTATCAGGAGATTATAACAAAGATGACCTGATATAGCTGTGCAGTGTTTTTATTTAAATACATGCAAAAAAAAGGACCTGATTTTAGAAGAGCCTTAGAAATGAATCATAGTATATGAAACAGTAGGAAGATTTGCAATTTTTTTTAATTACTAATAAAAAACTAAGCTGGGTGGCTGGTGGCTCACACCTCCAGTTACTCAGGAGATTTCATTTCAAAGCCAGCCTAGACAGACAAGTCCAAGATACTCTGTCTCCAGTTAACCAGCAAAAAGCCTGGAGGCATGGCTCAAGTGTTAGAGTGTCAGAGTGAACAAAAATGTCACATAAGATTGTGAGGCCCTGAGTTAAAGTCCTCCTACTAGCATTAAAAAAAAAAAAAAGATAGCAAAAAAGAGATAGCATATTGCTATTTATTGCTTATAAAAATCATTTAATATTATACTATTAAAATGTATGACTAAATATAATTTTAATCCTGTTTAACCAGTAACTTCTGTATTATGGGAACAACTTTTAGGTTCCTTTGTTATTGTTCAGTGTTTATAATTTATGTGTCATCCTCTAAAATATGATTTCTGAAAGGTAAAATGTATTTGTTAAACTGTACATTAGCCTACAGTCTGAATGGCCTCTGAATATTATAGTTTGTCCTAAAACAACTGCAATGTTAGATAAATGTGAAATAGTGTCACTCATTTAAATCTTTAAGCGCTAAAAGAAAAAATGGACTGAAGATGTGGTTCAAACTCAGGTTTTGCCAAAAAAAAAAAAAAAAAGAAAAATGGAGGTGGAGGATAATAATCCTCTAAGAATCAACTAAATAAATAATCCTTCTACAGAATCAAAATTTTCCAAGTAATTCTTTCAGTCAGTGTAATACAGAAAAAAAAAGACAATTCAATATTTTAAACCTGTAATGCCAAAAAATTAATTATATAGTTAACTCAGTTATTTAGTATAATGGAGGAAAACAGAATAGATAAATCCCCAAATGATTACTTGGTATGGGAATATATATTCAATAAAGGTTTATATGTTACATTTTAGTACTGGGATTCGGCTCCACAAAATAATGAAACCAAACTTTGTCAGAACAAACTAGAAAAATGTTAGAGATCATTCTGTCCTGCTTTTTCTTAGCACTTTTCCTGAATCCCCTCTTCACCATGTTGCAATTACAGGAGTTTTTGAGTTTAAGTTTGTTCCTGAGAGCCAAGAAAGTTGGCCAAACCACTTTTGTTAGAAATTCTGTGACTATGGAACTGAAAGGATATAAGAAAGCTATAAATGTTTCAGGATAACAAATTAAAAAATATTATATGACTGAATATTATGGGTGCTTAAGTTATGTCAAGTGTACCAGATGACAGTAAATATTATCTAGGAGATCTTGGAAAGGAAGAGAGGGGAGGTATTGGGTTAGGGAAGAGAATCTGATTTACAGAATGAAGAGGTAGTGGGGAGCTCAGAACCAGAGAAGCAAGGTAGACTCAAAACTAGTTAAGATATTAAGGTCACTGTAATTTCTCATCTGAACTCCCTGACATAGAGAGGGTCAGAAAGTGAGGTACCTGCCAACAAAAGCTATCTTCTTGCCACTCTGACAGGATTGTGGTCAGTCAGGGACTTGACAAGTTGTTTCTTATTTCCACTAACTCATCTGGTCAGACCCAGTTTGTTTTTTTTTTTTTATCCCTTAAGAGTACAACAGGAATAGAGAGAATGAAGTAACACATTTTAGGTGCTTATTTGGGACAGCGTTTTAAGGTATTTTGCGTTCAAATGTCCTATGTCTGCTACTCTTTAAAAGAATGGAAAGCATAAACTAGCCACAAATTGTTCACAACATACAGTCATTAAATGTAATGAACAAAAGTGGTCATAGCTTTCTAAGAAAAATAGCCTTGTCTAAGATTATATCTCATCATCTTATATTCCAGTGAGTTACAAAGGATGTATCAGGTAGCTTAACCCAGAATTTAGCTCCTCATATTAGGCCAAAGAACACATTTCTGTTGGTGGACACCATAGCATTCAGTCTTAATTTGGTTCCAGAACCTTCCTCTGTTGTGATCAGTGTCTGTTCTTATTTCCCTGTTTTATGGGAAGGGTTTGATATAGATGTTCTGTGGTACCAGGTAATTGGGTGATTTTCTTCCTTTCTTTCTCCTCTTTTCCTTTATTTCTCTCCCATTGTGTGTCATTGCCGACGTCTCAGGCCATCCACCACTTTTCAGTGCAGTGTGAACACTTGAGTACCACTTTCAATTATCAGATCTTAAGATAAATCTATATTACACTCATCTTGAGAGACCATGGGAATTAATAACACAGGATTACAGAATAAACTGGATAAGAAAGCAATTTGGAGCTGGGCGCTGATGTCTCATGCCTGTAATCCTAGCTACTCAGGAGGCTGAGATCTAAGGATCATAGTTCAAACCCAGCCCAACCAGGAAAGTCTGTGATACTCTTATCTCTAATTAACCACAGAAAACTGGAAATGGCAGTGGCACTGTAGCTCCAAAGAGGTACAGTGTTAGCCTTGAGTGAAAAAGGTCTCAGGGACAGCGCCTAGGCCCTGAAGTCAAGTCCCATGACCGACTGCCTCCTCCCCACCCCCCCAAAAAAGCAGTTTGGTAGGGATAAGTTGACAGCTATACAGTATATTGATTAAATCTTAATTTTTATTGTCATCTGTATGTAATTTTTCCATTTAAACATAAATTACAATGTCATGGGTTCAAAGAAAAACTATCCTATGACCGAAAATGCTGTTGACGTTTTGCTTCTTTCTCTATTTCTCTTTCATTCTTCCATTCTCTCTTTGTCTTTTTCTGTTTGTCTGTCTTTTTAGTGCTGGGAATTAAAGAGGCCTACCACAGGGGCTGGGAAGGTGGCTCAGTGGTAGAGCGCTTGCCTTGCATGCATGAGGCCCTGGGTTTGATTCCTCAGCACCACATAAGCAAAAAGAAAAAAAAAAGGTGAAAAAAAAAAAGAGGCCTACCATGTTCTAGACAAGTGCTCTACTAATGAGCCTGACTTCTAGACCTTTCAGTTGATTTTTTATAAATAAAATCTGTTTGAATTTTATCTGTCGATCTGTCTGTGTCTGTCTGTCAATCATCTGTCTAGGTGCTAGTAATGAAGCTAGAACTCAGGGCCTGGGCATTGTCCTTGAGCTTTTTCACTCAAGGATTATGCTCTTACCATTTGAGCCACTGGCCTACTTCCGGCTTTTTGCCGGTTAATTGGACATAATAGCCTCAGAGATTTTTCTGCCCTAGTTGGCTTGAACTGCAGTTCTTAGATCTCTGACTCCTGAGTAGCTACGATTACAGGCAAGGGTCACTGGCGTTCAGCTTGTTTGAATTTTTATTTTGTACAGGACTACCTTATATCTGAAAGGATAAAATCTCGCTAAGAATTCACAGGTTTCCAGCTGAGTTTATCACACAGTTGGAATTTTCCTGTGGATTGCATGGTAAATCTATAAATTTCTTAAAGTGAAAATAACTTGTTAATAAAAGAAGGTAAATGATTTCAATTAAAATCTATTTTTTGATACCAGTTCTATATGGCTACATTAGAAATCAGGTTAACTTTGCTTTTTGGACGGTATTTTAGTTTGCTACAGAAGAAATGCCAAAATATCTATCTAGACACTAAATCAGATTTATTCTAGTTTCCTTAAATCTTGAGTGAAGATTAATTTTAGCACATTCTCTTCAGAAAGCATTTTCTTTCATCCATTCATCCATGTACATACTCACATTAACTCAAGAATATATTTTTTTAGAAGTTAAATGAGAAAATGATTATATAATTACATTCTCTAAAAGTAAATATAAGGAAGAAGATCTTAACTTATTTGGAGATAAAACCTTTCTAAATCTAGAATACAGATTTGGAGACTGATTTTACTGCTCTGTGAAAAGAAATAAAATGCAGGTATTTTTGAGAAAAGAGACTTAAGAACAATATATTTCACAACATATATATACACCTGTGGCCACTGTTGTAGAAATGGGTTTTATTTTAATGTTTCAAATTAAATTTTTTTCTTGTATGTGAAAAGCCTTTTTTCTTTTGCTTTTTTAATATTTTTTTTTGTGTTTCTAACTAGTTAATAGAAACCTTAGTGAGCTAATATCAGGCAACTCAGGGAGAAACTTGGCCCACAGCCTGACGCTGGTAGCTCACACCTGTAATGCTACTTACTTAAGGGGTTGAGATCTGAGGATCACAGCTGTAAGCCAGAGCAGGCAGAAGATTCCAGGAGACTCTTATCTCCAATTAACCTGGGAGGGGTGGGGAGAGGTATGAGGGGAGAAAGCTGGAAGTGGTGGTGTGACTCAAGTGGTACCAGTAGTGTCAGCCTTGAGCAAAAAGCCAAGTACAAAGCTCTGAGTTCAAGTCCTAATTTTAGCACAAGATAAAATTAAATAATTTTTTTAAAGGAAGTAACTGCAGAAAGTATGGAAAACACAGTAATGTATATTAAATAAAATGAAACCTATCTATAATTTGCACTGCTCAAGAGTAATCACTGTTAGTGCTTTATTATATATTTTCCTCCAAGATTTTGATGTGTGCATGTGTGAGGGTAATATGCTAGCTTCCTTTTCCTTTGCATGATTAGGAGGATGAATGAAGAGAATCCCGGTAAGCTTCCTGTGACATGGTGGTAATGTTGTTGCCATTATTATCAGGATTATAGTTATTATTAAAATAATATTTCATCATTTTAAGATTTCAGTTAATCTCTTTTGTATTAGCCAGAATGCTAAGTAACCTATGAAAATGAAATTTGGGGTTGTTGCCTCATATTTCACCTTAATTCATTAACTTAACCATATCCTATTTTTTTTTTACCTTTTTCACATTAAAGGAGAAAAAATGCATTTTTTGCAATTGTCAAATGATTTTGTAAATCAGAAGTTGAACGAAGGTGATTTTATTGTGCTGAGGAATCTTCTCTCTTCACTGGTCTTTGGTCACTTGGTGTAATTGACCTGACTTTCTTTAAAACTACTAAGAAATGTAATTACTATAAGTGAGTAGCCTTGAGTTCTGAAATGTATATTTGGAGCCACGTAGGAGTAATTACCTGATAAGCATATTATTAATTTTTTTTGTTCAAGAGCAGTAATTACCCAGACTATGAGTTATAAGGAATAATGGTTTGAACAAGATGTAGCTTGTTATGTCACTTTCTTTGAAAGACTAGTTTGTATAATGGCTTTTAGTCCATATGATTTAGCAGAGTTATACATCTAATCCAATTTTAGCTATGGATCTTTACATCTGTCATTAAAGCCATTATATTTTAATTGTTTTTTTTTTGTTTTTGGGTCTGGTCATGGGGCCTGAACTCTGGGCCTGGGCGCTGTCCCTCAGCTCTTCAGCTCACGGCTAGTGCTCTTACCACTTGAGCCACAGCGCCACTTCCAGCTTTTTTCTTTTTGCTTATGTGGTGCTGAGGAATCGAACCCAGGGCCTCATGCATGCAAGG